TTAAAGCTTTGTGATGTTGGTCACATCAGTTAGATACACTTTGTTGAGTGAATGCTAGGTCTACTAGAATTTAAGTTCTTTGAGGTCAGTGAATGAGTCTTTGTTGTCTGTCTTTGGATCTCTGGCACTCAGTCACTCAGTATTATTCACTGAATGACTCAAAATTGGTAAGATATATTATATACACACACACACACCTAAATATGTATATATTTATTATATACATTGTACATAACTTTTTTGTAAAATGGCATATATATATTTTTCTGTAAAGTGGAAGCATAATATCTTTTCAATTATAAAAAGTCTCATTTTAAAAGAGGATATAATCATGACTCTTATACAGATATGAAGTAAAGATGTGTCAAAGATTTTATTTAAATCGTGAATTAATGACAGAACCAATAAGATATTACAGTCAATTCAAAAAAGAATGCAAAATATCACACATTTACAGTCTGCCAAGGAATGCTGAAGTAAATTTACAAGTGCACACAAAATTGGCCATACTTGCAGTATCCATAGTGTGATAATCAACTACTTTGCTGTGAACACAATTTGCATTTCTGTGGAGAGAAGTTATTTGCATTGTCATCAGTTTCTGCAAGTTAACTTCTATTTCTACAGCCTTGTAAAATAGCCTACTCATAGACGAACAAAAGCAGAGATTATTCAGATAGGTGAGCTAGCCAGGACATCCACTAAATTTCAAAGTCTTTTATAATTTTTCCTTACAATCTCGACCTCCCTCCCTTCTTCTTCCTTGTGATCATGATAATCTCAAAGAAAGATTAACTTTGATCACAAGATAAGACTACTCTCATTAGGTTTGGCCTTATTATTTACCTAGACAGGCATGGCAAGAATGTTAATTTACCATCTAGTTCTTCTTACATATGCTTTGCAAAATCTAGAGCCGTATAGTTTTGAATAATTACAGAATGAACTTCTCTTTGGAAGCTTTCATAAGGAATCTCAGATTAGACTTCTAATGCCCCTGTTGTTTGCAATCCCAAGGCAAGGGAACCGAATTGAAGAAATTCTCTCCACCTTTTTTCGCCTGCAGTACTTACGCATTTGGGTGAATTCTTTTTTTCTTAAGGTCCCCAAAATAACTTTAGATTCCTGGCCTCCAAGGAAGTGATGGTCCTTACCACCTATAAGGTTGGACCCTGCAAACTAGATAGCAGGCTAGTTATCCTAGGAGTCCTTTGTAGGCATTGACTCTGTAATTAAAGCCACATTAGTTCCTTAAAATCAGCCTGTTCTACCTGATCCAAGATCAGTATGACATTTCAGGCAAGATGTTAGTTATATAATAGAGTTATCCAATTTTGTCTTGGTAAAACAGAAGATGTTATTATTGAATATATGGAATAATTCTATTGCCATTGAAAGAAAGATTTGGTATGAGTTCCTGGATTCTAGGGTTTAGTGAGATTTAGGTATAATTTAAAAATATTTCATTTAAGTTTATGTAACAGAATGGTTTTAAATGTAGGTTTTATTATCATTTAGGTATGAGGAGGCTGATGGATCAGAAGATGACTATCATTTGGAGAAGTTCCTACTCATAGTTCTTAAGAAGAGAGAGGGGGCATACTATGTCATGCAGGGCCACAAGGGGAAGCACCAAGGTTGGTCAGGAGGAAGATGGAGCATGGGCAGAAAGCATTATTGTGGCTTTTATTGGAAGGGAAAGCAAGGCAGAGTAAGCAGGCTTAGAATTGGCTAGTTTGAATAATTTCCGTGAACTCTGATGTGTATAGGGGTTCTCTCTAGTGGTCTGGTACCTGGCCCTGGGATGATTAGGGCAAAGGATGATTGCTTCTTGGAGTGTATGAATCAGGTAGAGGAGGTGGTTCAGCATATGAGTTCTGGATTTGTTAGTTTGCATATGAATGGCACATTTCTATTTCCAGGGCAAGTCATTTGTCTTGTTTGCTATAAAAATCTACTAAATAGTATGGGTAACAAATAGTTGAAGTAGAAAGAGAAAGGACTTTCTTATAGGGCCAGAAGACAGACTATATTAAAACAACAATATTCCAATCAGATAACCACTGTAAAATTTCCCTTATCAGTCCATTCAGTTCTGTGTAGTTAAACCTTGTTCCACTTGATCTTGGGTTAGCAATAGT